AGTCACTTTTATTGACTTTTATTTGAAGAAAACCAATCTGCTTAGATAGGCAACGGCACAATAATTCAAAGAGGTGGAAATGCCCATGTGGCCCCTGGGTCTGTGTGCTGTAGTGGGTCTCTCTCCTGTTGCGATACTAACTTTTTCGCTCTTCCTGAGCGCTCAGCCCTTTGACACTACACTGGGCAGAGTAGGTGTTTGGCTTTCTTGGGTTGCATTATTAATTCATCCCATGGCTTTGCTGTGCCTGCGCCTTCTAGGAGGTCCTGGTGGACCTGCAGCCCTGCCTCGCTCTTCACACTGGATTACTTTTCTCATACATGTGAATTTTAATTATTTACTCAACTACTAGTCCCTTGGTTCTGTTAATTATTTTAAGCTTCATTCTCTTTTGCAAAGTTTTGTCTCATTGAGAAGCTGAAAATAGCTAACATTTGGGAAAGAAAGAACTGTCAAGAAAAGACCCGTGTTCTTGCTCTGTAATGTTCTTCTGCGGGAGACTGTTTACCTCTAGCAACTGCTTCTCCACAAGGGTAAATGAGACTCCCTCAAGTGGAGGCTGTGATTAGTTATAAGCAAATGTCAGACAATCTTATAAACTCTTGTTAGCTGATCCAACTTTTGATCCATTTTCTAACTTTCTGAGACCTTTTTTTTCTGGCTCTATTGAAAATCAGGAAAATTAAAATGTCTTCAGGAGATAGATGGTTTGAAGAAGGGGGAGGGAGGCGGCTCTTTCAATACATGTGTATAATCCTACCGAGCTCTATGCAGTTAGCACAGTTTATGGGATACGTTTGCCTGCTGGTTGAACAATTCCTAAAAAGTGATTCATAGTACAGTTCTCAATTTTTTTATGTCCCTGTGGTTTGCCGTGCTATTTTGGCGCTGTGCAGGGAGGAGCCCCTTGAACAGTTCTGCAGCATGAGCAAGCAGATGAATAAAATGGAGTGTGACACACAGTAATGCACATGTTTAAACTCAAATTAGCAAGCGTGATTTCAGCTTTCTTAGCCAGTGTTACAAAAAAGAATAACTGTATAATCGGAGAGTTTATAAATTGTATGCTTAGAGCATCAATATGTTTTGGGTTTGCCAAAAGCACAGAATTAGCTTCCTGGCCCCCCTTTTTTTTTTAATGGTTTTTGCTTATGAGTGTTTAGGTTTTGTCACTTCTGGCGTTTCGTATAGGTCTGTGCCAATATTTGAACAGAGCAATGAAGTATTAGCAGAGTGGGAGTGTACATAATGATGAAAGGTGGGGGATTGATCCCGCGTTTCCATGGCAGTAAAGCAATAACTCAGAGGATTGTGCTCTCTCGACAGAGTATTATGGTAACAGTGATATATGTGAACATTTGTGAAACAGCTTCCAAGAAAAACTTTAAAGGAAGGGGCATTGAAATGCTATCAGAAGCAGGGAATGAGTTCTCCTAAAATAGCTCTTTTCAATCGCTAGCTACCACCATCGTGGCATGGAATAACTCAGAGGCTCCCAGTTCAATATGTGCTTGAGCTCATGCCCCTTTTTTTTTCTTTTACTAAAATATTGTTTTTGCAACCGTCACACAGTCAAATGTTGGCGAATGTATTCTTTCCCCTGAAAGAAAGATAATCTTTCAAGTGCTTTGTTCGAGACCAATGTTAGAGGATACCAGCATTTACTTTCAAGTTGTTGTTGGTTTTTTTTTTTTAATTGGCATTTTTCTGCCAGACACAGCTGTTATTTTGTGAGAAATGTATTGATCAGAAATAACTTCCTTTCAGAAAGAACAGCCGTGCCTCTTTGCTCAGGCTGAGGGATAGGGTGGTTTTAGAGTAACAATCTGCCATCTTTCTTCCTTTCTGTCCTTCCTAACTTTGGGACCCTTTGTTTACTCTGCAGACTGTTATGTAGAAACACTCATCAGAGTATTTCAAATACGCTCTAGAGGTAATGCTTCCTTCTATCGCATAGATCCTATTCTGATCAAGATCCATTCCAAGGAAACTTGGAGTAGGAATCTAAAGTGTTATGTACTGTTTGTATGTACAGAGCAATCAGATTACTTAAATTCAGCAAGGCATCAGAAAGCAGCAAGAGAACCTGAAACTGTCTGATGCATCTTCCTGGGTGGCTTTTGGCCAGCACACCAGTCCTAACATTTAAGAGCAAAACTTGGAAGATTTTCCCATCAGTTCATTTTATGTGATCTGTTGTGCCTGCACAGTCTGAATATATCAAAAGAAGTAACAATACTCAAAGTTTTGTCAAGGTGATTCCTACTGCTCTAGCACTGAAAGTCTTTTGATGCTATTTCAGCTAAACAAGCAAGACACTTGGGTGGCATGCTAAGATATACTCAGTTTTACTAAGATGTGGTGGGCCACCCACTAGAACTTAAAGTGAGGACTAATTAACTGACTATTAAATGCAAATAGCAGTTTAACAAAAAACACTTAACTACATAAATGTGTACGTAGGCATGTAGTAGGATTCAGAAACACATCTTTAAATCTTGCCCACATTATCTAAAATTTTCTCTGAAACTTTAGAAATTATTTTCTGAAGCTAGGTATCTGTTCAGTTAAAACTCAGGACTTCCCTGGCAATACAGAACAGCACAAGTTGCGCTGAGGGTAGAAAATAAAACACAGTATTGGAAAGTGGGACGGGTGTGAGTAGGTGGGGAGTTACCAGTCTAAAATGTGTTGGGCCAATGATAGCAACAGTTCATGGCTATTGCTTCTGCTTGCCTTGCAAAAGAGAGCACTTTCAGTGTGCCTTTGCCCTCTGGTGCTGCGGTAACATTGATTTGGTTAGGAAGAGAATAATTTTCACATTTTCTTATTCATCTCCTTATCTGAGTGATAAAGTGACAATGTCAGAAGACCGGGAGTAGGAGGTTTAGAGGGCTGCAAGCCATGCCTGGAAGTGCTTCTGGCTTTGCCATTAGTGAGTTACTTTTTTGCATATGAAAAGTAGTTCAGGGATAGCAAAAATATGGAATCTGTTAGATATTTAAATCTTGCCTTTTCAGTGCCTTTTCGGTTTGAAAGCATCATTCTGTCCTCTTCTGTGTCCAGTAGGCTTGAAAGTGTGTTTTGTTGGGTGTGCTGATATAGGAAGACAGCTTTTCTTTTTGTTGCTTATTTGGCTATGTACAAGACACAAGTAATACTGGCACAGTCATTCTGCAAATATATGAAAATCTAAAAACATACGTTCCTAATCATATGCTGTGATATCGATGGAGAGGGCTAGAAAGAAGCAGCACCATCTACCGACTAAAGTGCATCATTACCAACCCAAAGGAGCCATGGGGAGAGTCGCACTGCAATCTGTGCTCTAGCCATGTGACTGTAATTCCTAGACCTCCCTGGTTTATTAGCTAACTAATTGACTGTAATAGCTTTGCTTATGGGTTCTTACCGCTTAGACTATTTATCCATTTATTTATTTTTTTTTAACCTGCTCTTTTGATCTGGTGCATATTTAAAAGCTGATCTTGCAAATTCAGTTGACTGTGAGAACTTTTAAATAGCTACTTTTTAATGTTACATATAAGTTCTGTGTCACCAATAGTCTTTAGTGACAGGAAAGCACTACAGTATTCTTAGAAATCAGTGAGATGGTAGCTAAGATAACGGCCAGAAACATGAAGTCTCAGATCCTCAGAGGTGTTCAGGCAGTTCATGAGTGATTCAGAGCTCATTTCTCATTGAAAATACTGGGAATTAGCTACCTTTGGGGAAAGGGGAAAGTTCTCATTGGCTTTAGTGAAGATTTGAGACAATCAAGAGGACAGATTTGGCAAAGTACTTCTGCAAATGCTGTCCCTTGCAAGCCAGGCTTATTCAAGTAGCAATAAAATTGTTATATCAAAACAGTAAAATATGAGAACTAAGGCAACAGCTTATTTACACGCCAGAAACTGGAGGCTAATCTGCAAAGTTTGTTAAAGCTCCCAAAGCTTTCAGCAAAGCCTAGGCTGCAGCTTGGGAAACATCTGAATCTGTTTAGCACCTTAGGTGGAAACCATAAGGAGCAAAGAAACCATGGAAAATGTTTGGATTTCAACTTCCAACATT